GTTTGTCTGGGGGAGGCTTGAGTGAGGGGGTTGTTCGTTTGTTTGTCTGGGGGAGGCTTGAGTGAGGGGGTTGTTCGTTTGTTTGTCTGGGGGAGGCTTGAGTGAGGGGGTTGTTCTTTTGTTTGTCTGGGGGAGGCTTGAGTGAGGGGGTTGTTTGTTTGTTTGTCTGGGGGAGGCTTGAGTGAGGGGGTTGTTCGTTTGTTTGTCTGGGGGAGGCTTGAGTGAGGGGGTTGTTTGTTTGTTTGTCTGGGGGAGGCTTGAGTGAGGGGGTTGTTTGTTTGTTTGTCTGAGGGTGGCTTGAGTGAGGGGGTTGTTTGTTTGTTTACTTGTGTGGGGGTTTAACTAGGGGGGGGGGGGGCACTTGCTTGTTTGCTTGTATAGGGGGTACCTGTTTGTTTGCTTGTTTGTATGGGGCGTGAATGTGGGCGCACCTGTTTGTTTGTGTGGGGATAAGTGGAAGCTGCAAATGTTATTTTCCTATATACGAAGTTGATTAAGAAATATGAATGTTTCTTAGCATATACGTATTCAGATTTCATTAAAAAAATAATAAACAAACAGATATCTACAAAAAATCTATATTTCATACATATTTCCACTATCAGTGAAGCAGATCTAATGCAGAAAAGTCCATACATTAGACAGGCCTATTGCACATTGAATTTAGACTGTTGCATAGGCCTATAAACACTTACCTGGTCGTTGAGACTGAGGCCGTGGCTTATAGGTCTATCCTGCATCAAAAAATAATAAACCAATATTATTCACGGTTGCTTCTGTGATTATCATTATTATCATCATTTTAGAAGGCTTAAGGTTTTTGAATAATGATAATAATGATAATAATAACAATAATAATAATGATAACAATTATGATAATGATAATAATAATATTAGTAATAATAATGATTATAATAATGATGATAATAATAATAATGATAATAATGACAATAATAACAATAATAACAATAACAATAATAATAATGATAATAATAATAATAATAATGATAATAATAATAATAACAATACTACTACTAATGATAATGCAAATTAAAAATACGAGTAATGTTGGTTTCCTGATTTGTATTAAGTTATGTTTTCATATATTTATTTAATTGTATTTATTTATTTTATTTTATTTTATTTCATTCTACTTTATTTATCATCGTATTATTGTCTGTGTTTTTTTCTATGGTCATTCTTTTGTGGTCTTTGAGATAAATAGATAGTTAAATAGGTGAATAGATAGATAGATACATATGTAGAGAGAGATGGATAGATAGATAGACAGGCATATAGACAGATAGATAGATAGATAGATAGACAGAATATATATACATACATGCATATATATATATATATATATATATATATATATATATATATATATATATATATATATATGTGTGTGTGTGTGTGTGTGTGTGTGTGTGTGTGTGTGTGTGTGTGTGTGTGTGTGTGTGTGTGTGTGTGTGTGTGTGTGTGTGTGTGTGTGTGTGTGTGTGTGTGCGTGTGTGTGTGTGTGTGTGTGTGTGTGTGTGTGTGTGTGTTTGAGAGAGAGAGAGAGAGACTGAAAGAGAGAGAATGAGAGAGAGAGAGACAGAGAGAGAGAGAGAGAGAGAGAGAGAGAGAGAGAGAGAGAGAGAGAGAGAGAGAGAGAGAGAGAGAGAGAGAGAGAGAGAGAGAGAGAGAGAGAGAGAGAGAGAGAGAGACAGAGAGAGAGAGAGAGAGAGAGAGAGAGAGAGAGAGAGAGAGAGAGAGACAGAGAGAGAGAGAGAGAGAGAGAGAGAGAGAGAGAGAGAGAGAGAGAGAGAGAGAGAGAGAGAGAGAGAGAGAAGCAGGGACAGACAGACAGGCAGATAATGAAAGAAAAAAATACAAGAAAAATACAGCAAAAAGAAAAGATAAAAACAACATAACACACAACAAAAAACAACAACAAAAACCGAAACCTGCGAACGAAAGAGACCACATTAACGAAAGAGGGAATAGCATAAACCCTGATAAAGGAAGGGACCAATGGACAACAAGGAGACCAACATTTACTCCTGCTGACTTGCTGCTGAGTGCTTCTGTTTCTGCTTCTGCTGTTTCTACGATTTATCTGCTGTTCTTCCTCTCTCGTTTTCTCTTTTTCACACGAGGAGGAGGAAGAGGGAAGAGGAAGAGGAGGGGGAAGAGAGAAGAGGAGGAGGAGGAAAAGAGAAGAGGGGGAGGAAGAGAGAAGAGGAGGAGGAAGAGAGAAGATGAGGAGGAAAAAGAGAGAAGAAGAGCAGGAAGAGGGAAGCGGAGGAGGAAAGGAGGTGGAGGAAGTGGGAAGACGAGGAGGAAAGGAGGAAAGGAAGTGAAGGAAGAAGAGGAAAAAGTTGGAGAAGGAGGAGGGGGAGGAAAGGAAGGAGGAAGAGGAGGAGAGTCTAGAGACTGTGATGGTTTGGGGAAGATAAGAGGAGAGGAGAAAGAGAGAGAGAGAGAGAGAGAGAGAGAGAGAGAGAGAGAGAGAGAGAGAGAGAGAGAGAGAGAGAGAGAGAGAGAGAGAGAGAGAGAGAGGGACAAAAAAAAAAATAAAAATAAAAAGAAAGAAAGTAAGAAACAGAAGAAAGTATAATAGAAACAGAAAAGAAAATAGAAACAGAAAACCAGAAAGATCAAAGACAGGAAAAGCAGAAAGATAAAATAAAAAGAAACAAACATAAAAAAGAAAAAGAAGAAAGAAAGAAAGAAAAAAAGAGAAAACGGTAAACATCGAACCAAAGAAAGAGAGAGAGGCGGGTTTGGGGGGGGGGAGGGAGGAAGGAGAGGGGGAGAGAGAGTTAGAGGATGGGGGAGAGAGGGAGAGGAGGAGAGGGGGAGAAGGGGGGTAAAAGGAGATGGAAAGAGGAGGGGGGGAGATTGAAGGGGGGTGAGGGGGTGAAGGGGTATGGGGGGGGAGAGGGGCAGAATTGTATTACTTAAAGGGGAAGGAGATGAAGACGTCGGAGAGAGGGGGAGGGGGGGTAGGGTAGGGGGAAGGTAAGGAGGTAGAGGGGGAAGGAGAGGTAGAGGAGGGGAGGAAGGGGGGGAGGGGGAGGAAGGAGAATTGGGTACATGGGGAGGGAAGGGGAGGGGAGGAAGGAGAGGGGAGGGGAGGGGAAGGGGAGGGGTTGGTATCGGTTGGGTAAGGAGGAGGAAGGGGGGGCGGGGTATTAGGTGGTGGGGGGGGGATGGGAGGAAGGTTGCCGGGGTGAGGGTAGGGGGAGGAGTGGGGGGGGGGGGTCGGAGGACATTTTCGAGAGAGTTGCAATATTCTTGAGGGAATTTCGTGTCGCGAGGAAAATGGAGGAACGAGTTACGAAGGAGGAGGAGGAGGAGGAGGAGGACGAGGTTGAGAAGAAACGGAGGACGAGGTGGAAGAGGAGGAGGAGAAAAAGAATAATGATGATGAGGAGGAAAAGAAGGAATAAGGCGAGGAAGAGAAAGAAAAACAGGATGATGATGAAGAGAAGGAGGGGAAAGGAAAGAGAGGAAAGAGAGAGAAAGGAATCGAAAGAAAGAAGAAAGGGGAAAATGGAAGACGAGATAAGCGAATAAAAGAAAAAAAAGAAAAGAAAAGAAAATAGGAATACTAAACACCCCCACTCCAAAAAAAAGAAAAAGAAAAGAAAAAAGAAAAGAGGAAAAGAAGGAAAAAGGAGAAGGCAATGAAAGATAAACACGAAGAAGAGAAAATAAGAGAGAATTAGATAGTACTATATGATTAAAAATCTTTCGTCACATTCACACACAAAACAAAACAAAACAGAACAAAATAAAACAAAACGAAATATAGTAATAATGGATGTAAATGAGTAAAAAAGAAAAAAAGAAAAGAAAAGAGAAATAAGGAACGAACTAATAAAAATAAGATATATAAGATTAGATAATGAAAAGGGAATAAAAGATTATAGATGGGAAATATAATCCGGATAAGAAAAAAAGAATAAATAAATAAACAACGTAAACACCAACTTCGAAAAAGAAGAAGAAGAGGAAGAAAGAGAGATTGGCGAGGAATTAAAGAAAAAAAAATATATATATATATTTATAATTTCTTTTTTATAAATATAAGAAGATGTCAGCATATGATATATTCCGACATTTTAGTGTAAGAATGCAACATATTTTTTTTTTCCAGTATCGTAATAAGACTTTTTATTTTAGATTTTGTAAATGTGAATATTTCGGGATCGACACTGATAGTGACATACCAATAACTTCTAATTAACTATTGCTAATGTCATTGTTATTCATTTTTATGATTCTAAGTTTTCATTTCAATATCACTGATATCAGAAACAATAACATTAGCATAGATAATATAACGACTTTTCATAACCAATTTAAGCAACTATCAATATCAGAATTAGTATAAACATTAATATCGCCTTTATCAATCGAAAGATAACTGATAACGTCATCAATATCATTATCTTTTGATAAATTTTGTTTTAAATACCAAATGATTCGAAACACCACATGATTCGAAATACCAAGTGATTCGAAATACCACATGAATCGAAACACCACATGATTCGAAATACCAAGTGATTCGAAACACCAAACGAACCATTCACCGCGAACCATTATCTCAAAACCACAAGTTACGAGTCGAAAATGTTTTCACAAATCATCAGTTACATTTCATATTTTCGATAGATTACAGGCTTTTTTTTCTTTCTTTTTTTTGTCTTTTTTTTGTTTCTGTAATAACGAATGCACCCATAGGATCTGCAGCGCCGATGATGATTAAAGAAACTATTTCAATATCAATATCAACTTCAATTTCAACTCTTTATTCCATTTTATTGCAGAACGAAAATCGAAACGAAATAAATACCCTTTTTGGGATCTGATCATAATATATTGATCAAGCTGCTGTATACATTATAATTAGTGTCATCAGGGAAATTGCTGTCATTATCATTGTCATTATCGTTACTAATGTTGGTATAGAAGTCATTATCATGTACGATATTTTTACATTTATCAATCTTTTTAAATTATAATTTTTTTGTTTGTGTTATTACGTGAATTTTTCGTCTTTTCTTCGTTTTTTATTCATATTATTATTTTTTTTTTATAGAATTTCTCGTAGAATATATTAAAATAGTGAATTATACTGTTTGTTGCTATCATTATATCAAATGTATTCATATAGAGTGAAGAATTTTTTTCTATCTCAAATATTCATAATTTATGTAATCTATTGCGTTTGTTATAATAACATTAATGAAAAAGATAATAATGATGATAATGATGATGATGATGGAGATAATAAAACTAATTTCAGTGATAATGATAATAATAATAATAATAATAATAATAATAATTGTATTACTAATAATAACAATAATAATAATAATAATAATAATAACAATAATAATAATAATAATAATAATAATAATAATAATAATAAAAACAATGATAATGACGATAATGAAAAAAATAATAATATTGATAATAAGCTAATAACAACAATGATCACAACGATTGCAACGAGGATTATGAACGTTAGCCTAATATATCTGAGAATATTTGATCACGCTGTGCCGTTTCACTCTTTTCTCGGCTCGACCAGAAGCCATAGGTTAAGGTACCTACTTATTATCCTTTCTACTCTTCCTACTTCTTCTTCGTTTTCTTCTGCTTCTTCTTTTCTTTTTCTTATTTTTCTTTTTCTTATTTTTCTTCTTTGTTTTGTTTTTGTTATTTTCTTGTT